GTGTCCACCATCCTTCCTCTACCGTGACCCCGCTAGCTTCAGCACAACAGGCTAAAATGCTCCACAAACAATTCTCTGCTATTAACTCCGACCGAACCACAACTTCCACCTCGGAGCTTGTTTCACTAATAGTAATCCACTGTGTATATTTATCCGCGCTTTTCCTCCCACGGGGACGCTGAATGGTCCCTCTCTCTACAACATGGACCCCCTCCCACACACACACCCGAGAGCAGACGTTGTGAGAGCTGCAGCTCGGCGTACGTCAGTGCCAGGAGTCAGGTGTTGTCACCTGAACTGCGGCCAGGTGAGCTGCTGAAGCCTGATATCCTCCTTTCTCTCACCCACGTCTTTGAGTTTTTTTCCCTCTCAGTCTTCCTCTCTCTGTCGTCCCTCTGGCTGATTTACAATTTTCTCCCAGGCTTTGTCTGCATCCTTTTTGTTTACAGTCAATACACCTCTCCATCACCTCCTGGACCCTCTTTTTCATCCCTCCACTCCTCCTCCTCCCTCTCCCTCCTCTTTCGCTCCTCCCTGCCCCTTAAGGGATCTCCCCATTTGTTGAAGCCTGCAGGTTGGTCAGGAGATACTTTTATCTTATTTTACAACCGTGTGTGGCATCCTGAAATGGAATAAGCTTGACCCTCATGATTAAGTAATTTATAACTCTCCGAATCCCCTTTCCGTTTCCATTGGACTCAGGCTGTCTGCTTGCTGCAGGCACGGAAGCCCAAAAAACAGTCCCGTCTTTTTTTTACACGGTTGTCTCAGCTTAAGCGGCCCCGGCTGTCCACCTGTGAATTGCATTTCCCTCCAGCAACAGCTTTTCTCATACCAATACATGATGCCTACACCAATGAGGGCCGCATTTTAGCGCTGCTATCTGCTGGGTTCATGCACCACCTCCTTGTAGGGCTTTATGGCGCCAGCTGCACCATGAACAGTGGAATGACTTGGGAACACTTAGATGAACAGTTTTGCCTGTGAACAAACTGTACTTAATTACTCCCATTTGCATGTCACAATCTGTAATTCCGCCTTCTTTTTTCCTTTCCTGGTTATCTTTACATCTTTTTCAGCCATTCCCTATCTTATTGTCTACTTTTACTTTACCAATAAAACACTAACTAAAATCCACGAAGCTTTGGTGATGTCGTGAAGCCAGCCGGGTGGGATCATGGGAGTTGTTGTCCTTCCACCACCATCTATCTGTCTCTGCCGAGGGGCTGTGAGGCCGAGCTCCTGCTGGAACGTTAGCTCTCAGCTTGCTTTTCTCTGATAAGCTTAAGATCCCAGACCGTCTGATGACTAAAATCCTTCAAATATAGTCAAAAATAACCAAGATCTATAAAGGGTATTGTAAAAAACGTGGCTTAAAACTGCATAAAAATCGATTTATTGCAACTTTTGACAAACAAGAATGCTGAAGCATGCGCAAAGACAATATGACGTCATTGAGGACAAATGAAACGCAGCATTACCTGAATTAAAATTGGCAACATTTAGGATAACCTAAATACACACCTTAACACAATATCTATAGTAAGTCTTATAGTCTAACAGGTCTAGTGTGTTTAGACATTTTAATGCGGAAATATACAAAAAAAGCCCTAAAAATATCACAAAAAGGTTTTTATGATTTGGTGGAAAAGTTGGTGTATCGATAAAAAAACTAAAAACATCAATGGACACTGAGGCAGTGATTTAGAGGCCTGGATTTGGACTAAATGTCTCCCACACTTTCAAAAAGATGAGATATGTATCAAGTGAATACTCTGGATCGTTCATTTAATACCGTTGTTTCCGTTCTGTCCATCTTCTGTCCTTCTTTCCCTCCCCTCAGTATCCACTCCATGGAGCAAAGAACAGACATTTAACAGAAGCTGGCAGGCAGATGAGGAAGATGATGACAGTAGAGAGATTATGAGGGACATGAATATGATGGCCTTGACTCTCTGCTCCATTCCTCCTCTGCTGTTTTCACATTGTAATCTCTCTTTATGTTCTTTAATCCCTTTAAATTTAAATTTCCTGCCTTCCTGATGTTCTCCCTCAGTCTTCTGCTTGTTCTTCTCGTTCTCATTACTCTCCCTTTCTCTGCTGTTCCCAGCCCAGTTAAATATGCTCTTTTATTACTATTTTATTGGCTTTGATTATTCAGCGTGCCATTTATTCAATATGCACTTTTGGAGGCATAATTCTTTAGAATAATATTATCCAAGGATGAGGGTACAAAACAATCACTCTGGTTCTCTCCATGCAGCGCTGCAATTAAATTCGGTTCCTGGTCTACTTGCAGGAATTTCATTTATTTTGCTGGTGATGGTTTATTGATGCCTGATGTCTATATCTATGTTTCCATCAGACCCCCTCCCTGCCTGGGAGGTCAGAGTGCAGGGTCAGCCAAGTCAACTTTATTTATAGATGCCTTTTAATGATTGCAGCTAAGTGCTTCACAGAGAGCAAAGGACACAAACGCCCGACAGAAAGTGCAGACCTCAGCCGGTGTTTATCAAACAACAACACAGCCTCTGGAGCTCTTTGTTGATTGTTGTCTGTCTTTTAAAATGATTTTCTGACAGAGTAGAACAAGATACACACGACTGTGATGCAGCTTAGCGTTTGAGCTCCAGCTGAAGACGTTTCTTGATCTCACAGATCTGGATCACATCGGAAACAAAGCGATGTGTCAGTCAGACATCAGCCCAAAGAGGCAGAGCTCGTGGAAACAAATGTCCATTTTGTAGAGTAATGCACACCGGTCATCATTCGACACGTCTCTTGATGCGTTTAGAGACACAGTGAAATAAAATGTCCTCTTCTTACATGCTTAATATGTGCCAACAATCATTTTTTAGTATTTTTATATCAAAATCCCTCTATATTCTCTTCTAAAATGGAGAAATATTGTTTCAAAGACCAGTCTTGAGCTCGTGGTGGTGACATTTATGCATCCAAACAAATGTGATTTGGGGTGACAAGCTAACCGCGCCCATCATATACTGTAAAACTGCACCTGAACATTAGCTCGTGGCTCGCTAGAGGAGCAATATCATTGTAGAAGTTGACAAATACTTTGTCTACATTTCCAAAGAATGTGGCTGAAGGCTAATTTATTCATTTCACCTTCACCCTCCACTTCCTGGTGGCTAACGTATGTGCGCTGTGTTTGCAAGGACTACTTTTGAAGTATGAACAAGGGTTTGCTTTATTGCTTTTGAATTAAACTTTTAATTTGTGAGATAAAACAGTTGTTATATCTTCATAAGGTCAGATAATTTCCCTTTAAAGGGTCCAGTGTTTGACATTTAGGAGGCTCTATTGTAAAGTGTGTAGGAGAAACTACGGTGGCTGAGACAATAGATCCTCCTCACTGTTACACACTGGACCTTTAACACACACTGGATGCAATAAAAAGACTTTATCTAAATATGTATCTGCTGGAATTTTTCCCAGTAATCAATCTGCATTAAAACTTCTCCACAAGTGCGCCAAATTATTTATATCATCACACGTGTTTTCCAGTGTGGAAATGGCATGAAATGTTTCATTCAAACATTAATAAATCATTACCAGTTTGAGTCTGACAGTTTCAATACAGTAAACAAATGAGACCATAAATGAGGTTATCAGCGTCTCTCTGCGGTTAGAGTCAATCTGCTGGACTGTCAGAGTGGATATCAGTCCTTATCGGTTCTTATCTTTCCTTTTGCCCTTTTACACAAACACAGGGGAAGGGGACGAGGAAAGGTTTAATTACCCTCTCCGATCAGAAAGAGCTTCTCAAAACATTCCTCATCCTTCCCTTCCTCCAGACAAAGACAAGCCCGTGGACTCTGATGAGGACTCAGTGGGGGTCAATGCCGGAGGCCCCGCCAGTGCAGGAGGAGCCCCTGCGTCCGGTGCGTTGCGGCCCAACTCCCAGTCAGCCTTCCTGGGCCCGCTGCTGTGGGAGAGGACCCTGCCGTGTGATGGAGGCCTGTTCCAGCTGCAGTACATGGACCTGGAGGAGTTCTTGACTGAGAACGGGATGGGGATGCACAGCAATGGGCCCAGCTCCACCAGCGCCCAGATCCCTTCCCAGGTGAGACTGATAGACACCCAACTCCTTTATGCAGGTAAAAACAGTTTAAATGTCACTCACTCCATTAACATATTTCCCCCCTCTCCTCCCAGAGCTCCCAGTCGGCGGTGCCCAACCAGAGCTCCCAGTGCCCTCCCACCTCTCCTCCGCCCTGCTCCTCCTCTTCCTCTTCCATGTCCTCCTCATCCTCCTCTTCCTCGCTGCTGGGACTGGAGACCGTCCAGCCGCAGCCACCGCCGCCGCCGCCACTGCCACCTCAGCAGCAGCCGCCAGGCATGATGGGAGGACCTGAGTGTCTACATGGTGAGTGAATGTGAACACATACAGAGAGCTGGGAAGAGATTTTGAGTGCAGTTTTATTCCATTTTAACCCATTTAGATGAACACTTGATTGAATTTTTGAATGTTAATACATTTTCCATGAATATTTTACTTGATCCGTCACTCGGAGCTGGTAAGAGATGTATGTAGGAATGTATGGAAACTTTCTGGTTAGAAATCAGAACGTTTTTCTCACTGTAGATCCTGAGAAGTTGATGGCGAGAATAAATTTGTTCGTCACGTGAGAACATTTGTGCACCAGCTAATGCAGTCAGACATATATGAGGCTGTACATGCAGAGGCCTTAATGGGATCTGGCACTAATGAGGACACAGACTCATGATACATTACATTAACTAACCCAATTCAACCACTGGACTCCTTCAACAATAACCAAAGGAAGGTCTTCTCTAATTATATCTCTGATAAACGGCTGACACCCTGTTCGGCTCCCTCCAACAGCCTGTTTTCATCCGTTATATATTCATAATTTATTGTTTCCTCTCTCTGCTGCTTTTTTGATGTGAACCAGAACTGCCAGAACATCAGAAGAGCTTTTCTGTCTGTCTTTCTTTTATTTTTTCTTTCTGTTTGAGATTTCATAAGGCTGACAACTTCCAATTCTAATTGAAACCCCAAAGCCCATTCTTTATAACGCTGACGGCCATGTTTTTTTATCCTGTGAGCCATCGAATGAATCATCACAGCTAATTTCATGATGATTTATTGATGACAGATTGCCACATGTCTTTGTAAATGTTCGGCGGTTGTATAGACATTTAAAGGAAGGATGAGACAATGAGTGCTCGAGTGTGTGAAGTATTGACGATGTGTGGATGCAGAGGAAGAGGCAAAACTTCGTTATGAATATTATCTCACCATCGAGTCGTCATTGGATTGAACCAACTGAAAGACACAGTAAAAGAGTGTGTTCGGACTGTTTGATCAGATTGGACCCATTTAAGAGAGGCGGGGCTGTGATGCTTCTTTACACACCTGTGGGCAGAATTTAAAGATCTGAATCAATACCAGTCTTGCAGGGAACGGCCACGTGAGAATAATGTTACAATTTCTCATGTAATCTGTTGTGTTTACTCTCATAGGAGACTGTTGTTTCCAGATTTTAGCCTTTAAGGCAGTGCCGTCTGCCGGGCAACAGGTTTACCGTGCTGAAATGGCACTGAGGCTGGAGAGAAGTGCTTGATTAATGATGAATGACTGTGGAACTAAAGTCCTTGTAATATGCAAGCATGCAGTGGATTAGTAAAGTTTAACAGCAGCTGTAAACAGAACATTCACACATTATTTCCTTATAAAACTACTATGTTAGCACACAGTTGCCTTTTTACACATCATATACACATATGGAGCTGTTTCTGCCCACTGGAGAAAGTATAAGTCCATTTTGTTCTCGGCTAACTTCTGAGGGAAATATCTGTGTCTTTAGCCACTAAATGCTCCACTTTGTTTACCAGCTAGCCTTTGTCTTTCTGCCATTTGGGCAGTAGGTTTTTATATTAAAGACCTATTTCACTGAAAATAGTTTCCTGATGGTTGGTTGGAAAACCGAAACAATGAGCTGAAAGATGCTAATAGAGCTAAGTCACTTTATCCAGTGTTATTATAAATATATTGATTATTGCAGCTTTAAAACACAAATAGCTAGCTTAATGTGCACACCTCTATATGATAATATAACAGGCGAGTTATATAGAGATTCACCCCGTGTAAAGTGGTCTGTAGTGGCTGTAAACATGTTTATTTCTGTTGTAATGTTTAATATGGGCTCTTATGGAGAATGACTCACTTCTGGAGCCAGC